AAAAAATAAAATAAAAAAAAGATGTATATGGGAAACAAAAGGCCTGATTTAACACTCTGGAGTAAATGCAGCTTGTTGCATATTTGTATGGTTCTCTGTTTCCTCCACATGGTTGCCTGCAGTCATTGCTAACCAGCTGAGAAAAAAGCATCATAAAACATCACAGAAAAGCAGAATTTTATTGTCATACTAAAACTAAAAAATCCGGAACGGTCTGCCAAATTTCTGTTATATCGTACAATGAGATATCTGTTTTCCTTCTGAAGCTGAAAATGATGCTGTGAGAGTGGTGGGAACGAACCAGAACAGTAAAGCTGACAGGACAGTGGCCTCAAACTCACTGTAGGAGGAAAGAGTTACGAATTCAGGGGGTAGTTCTCTCTAGGTTTATTACTTTGGGAAACACCTGCTACCTTGTTCTGTTGTTTTCAAATTACCATTTGATATAATGTTATTAAAATAAATAAATAACAAATGGCTGCAGCCAGTTGATTGAGTCACACTATGCACTGACGATATAAGGGGCTCTCAGAGAGGCCAGTCTGCTCTCATAAACATATTATAACTCATTCAAGGTTTGCCAGAGTTCATACAGTTCTACTCTTCTGATGTGTTACCCATTCATGAGCAACATTTAGAATAAGAAAAGAACATGAAAGTAAAATAAGGTATCACATCTGATGACTGCAGCATCCTACTGAGTGAGAATGACCCTCCGCGACATTAAATCCATTACAGGCTTGTGAGAGAACACATCCATAAGCCCCAAATCTCTTTAATACAACACCCATTAGGAAAGTGCTGAGCTCTTTATGAACAGCTAAGATGGTCCACCACTCAGCAACACCACAGCCTCTGCTTTATATTCAGTATAGTACAGAAAATCACTACTCACCACAGAGTAATATGGAAGATTGGAATATATCTTAAGACATTTTAAAGGCTTGTTTTCTTCCACTGCTGCCTCACCAGGACGTTCCTTTTTTTTTTTACCAGTCCACCAGGGACAAGGCTCACGAAAGTGGTATATGTAAAATACCCAGATTTTTGCAGATAATTCACAATGTATTTAAAATAAATAGAATAAGCCAATTTATTTTAGGTTAAATTCTTTAAATAAAGTTAAAAATTTATGTCAGAGGTCTGAAGGTCTCCCAGCAGAAGGCAGAGACACCTTAAACAGGTGACCCCATCGCCACAAAATTAAAACAGCTTGGAAATAAAACTTGCATGTGAGAAAATTAAATAGTTATTATTACAAGCCAAACTTGCATGATTTGACTCGAGAAGTTGGGACAACCTGGAGAAAACATCTGAACAGTGCACAGAAAAGGTCATCCTCAATGATAGCTGAGAAAGATGAAACATAGAGTTTTTTTTTCCAGGATGTTTTACTGTTAGGTTTTAAAATAAACAGTCACTGGTTACCGCCATGACAGGCATAAGCAGGTGTAACCTTAATATCTTGATGAGTGGTCAGTTATGTTTGCAGTGGTGGCTGGATTAGATATTAACTGTGGCCTAAATCAATTTGTGCTGACGGATTTGGAAAGTGATAATCCAAGGTGTGCCTTTTAAAAGCCAGACTGTTGCCACCTGGGTCCATTTGTAGCAAGGTCCCTCTCCAGCACTCTTCCAAACAGCCAGAAGAAACACCACCGAAGGGCTGATCGCAACCGCAAGCCGCAACCATGAATGGCACAGAGGGACCCTTTTTCTATGTCCCTATGGTAAACACCACCGGCATTGTCCGGAGTCCTTATGAATATCCTCAGTACTACCTTGTCAACCCAGCAGCCTATGCTGCTCTGGGCGCCTACATGTTCTTCCTCATCCTCGCTGGATTCCCAATCAACTTCCTCACCCTCTACGTGACCCTCGAACACAAGAAGCTGCGAACCCCTCTAAACTACATCCTGCTGAACCTTGCGGTGGCTAACCTCTTCATGGTGTTTGGAGGATTCACCACAACGATGTACACCTCTATGCACGGCTACTTCGTCCTCGGACGCCTTGGCTGCAATCTGGAAGGATTCTTTGCTACCCTCGGCGGTGAGATTGCCCTCTGGTCACTGGTTGTTCTGGCTATTGAAAGGTGGGTGGTTGTCTGCAAGCCCATCAGCAACTTCCGCTTCGGAGAGAATCACGCTCTTATGGGTCTGGCCTTCACCTGGACAATGGCCAGTGCATGCGCTGTACCCCCTCTTGTCGGCTGGTCTCGTTACATCCCTGAGGGCATGCAGTGCTCATGTGGAGTTGACTACTACACACGTGCAGAGGGTTTCAACAACGAGTCCTTTGTCATCTACATGTTCACCTGCCACTTCTGCGTCCCACTGTTTGTCGTGTTTTTCTGCTACGGCCGTCTGCTCTGTGCTGTCAAGGAGGCTGCTGCTGCCCAGCAGGAGTCTGAGACCACCCAGAGGGCTGAGAGGGAAGTCACCCGCATGGTCATTCTGATGGTCATCGCCTTCCTGGTATGTTGGTTGCCCTATGCCGGTGTGGCCTGGTGGATCTTCACACATCAGGGTTCTGAATTTGGACCAGTCTTCATGACCATCCCCGCCTTCTTTGCCAAGAGTTCCTCCATCTACAACCCAATGATCTACATCTGCATGAACAAGCAGTTCCGCCACTGCATGATCACCACCTTGTGCTGCGGGAAGAATCCCTTCGAAGAAGAGGAGGGAGCATCCTCTACCAAGACCGAGGCCTCCTCCGCCTCCTCCAGCTCTGTGTCTCCTGCATAAAAGGGGTATCAAGCAAAGGTTCCAATATCCACAATTCAAGAAGAAGACTTCTGCTCCCCCAGGGAAACGACTGAAGGCTAATGTCTACAGAAATAACGTCCTTTTTGTATTTTTACAAACGAGTTGGTTCAACCTAAAGACAGTTGCAGGAAAGGTCAGCCCATTACAGAGTTGTTCCTGTATGTACAGAATATCCAACTTAACGATCTATGAGATTTTTTTTTTTTTCCTGAGAAGAAGGGGAAAAAATGTTAATCTTTAACAGTTGGATCCTATATGATACTGGCTTATTTTTGAATGTAGAGGCATGTAATCAAGGCAACGTAAAATAAAACGCACTTCGCAAATGAATCATCCTGTTTATGTTTTAATTAAAATTTGGGTGGCAAAGTTCGTATGACTGTAGAATATTTAATCAAACGAATAAATGTGAAATGACTTATTCAGAATGCATTTATGTCGTCAGTCAGTCTCTACTTTAGAGCTATTTCTGCAGTGACTGCTGCTGTTCTGCTGTAGAACTTTATGGTACAAATGCTTCGAACACGGCAAAAAAACTTAGAATAGTGTCTAAACGTCTTTTGGAGTCACGTCTGCGGTGCTACTGTAATCTCATTTCAGTCACAGGTCACCTTGGACTTAAAACTTGGCCTCGCAAAAGGATTATGATATAATTCAGGGATGAATATACACATGACACAACACCCAGGTTTATCTAATGACGAATATTAATCACATTAATCACATTAATTAGAGGTTAACAAAGATTTATTGGATAACACAAATCGGTATTACCAAGAGACACCTTGATGCAAAGGTTATGGATTTAGACCTTAAAATAAACTAATGTCAAAGGGAGATATCAACAACACTTTAGCCTGTTTGGCATTAATAACGAGTATGTAAACATTTAATGATAGTTTATAAAATGCTAACCTGTTTCAATTGTATACAAGTAGTTGTAAGCAAGTACAAACGTTTAACGTACTTGTTGGTCACTTGCTGGTATGTAAATTAATAATGAATGACAATATACCGAAACACAATTGCAATAATGTCAAATATGTCTTCAAAGGAGAAGTTTTCTTTTTCTATGAAAGACTGAATATCAATAAATACTTAAAAATTACATTAGAGCTGCATTAACATTTGATACTGATTAAAAATATGTTCTTACTTCTTTTCAATTCTAAATAGGGAACTTAAAGTATTACCATAAATCAAATTAGTTTCTTGAAGATTAATTAGAAGAAACAATAAATGCACATATCTAAGTAGATTTTGAATAAATTCTTATTCTGTAGATCAAAGTTGTTGGGGTTTTTTTTCTACATTGTGGTACTCTACAGCAGTACTACCAAATACTGCAGCTCCTGATGGCTTCATTCATCAAAGCTTATAGACCCATTTGAGATAAATTCAAGTTTGTCGTAACGTTGTTTTACTCTCAGTGCTAAGTTCTTGAAGACTGGGTTGTTTTTACTTTTAGAATAAGATAATGTAGAGCTTTATGAGATCCAGAGTAACGACACTGCAGTGAGTTTCACCAGTATGATAAACAACATGATTGACATAATTCCTCGTCCTCTGTTCTTCATATTTGTGCAGTATGATAACCTTCATGCGTAGCTATAGCAACCATAATACTACTGGATCTCCAGTGGAATATAGATATGCTTGCTGAGCAGTCTGAAGTAAAGCTCCAGATTTGGAAAAAATAAAAATAAAAATATCTGTCACTCTTTGCTTTAATATAGCACTAAATAACAATGCTCTAAAATTTGAGTCAAAGACCCCTTTTAATTATTATTTTTTTCTTAACATGTCCATATGAAGCATTTTATGTGCTCAAAGACTTATCAAAGTCCTTCCTTCCTGTTGCTATCAGACTTAGCAACCAGCCCTGTGAACCACACATTGAAGACTGGAGATATTTCCCTCTAGTGGTATATCAGTGCTTTCAAACCTGTGTGTTTTGAATATTTTGTACATTTAAAAGTATCAACATAAATTTTTTTTTTCTACTTATACAGGAATGTGCGCAATAATCTTTTTTTTTCTTTTCTGCTTGTGGACGAGTCTGTACATCATTCTGTGCAGTATATTTTCTTACTTATGTGCAATACCGTTGCTTTCCACATTGGGTGGGCAATATCTGAATTTCTAAATTCTTGCACTATCTGCTATGCTGCTGTAACACTGCAAATCTAAGCACTGTGCAACTATTACAGACTTCACTTATCTTGTATCATGAACAAAATAAGCAGCCAACAGATGACTGTTTTAAATGTATGGATTTAGACAGCCAGGGTCTCGGACATAACAAACCTAAAGGACGAGTCCTGTCAGCACGTAGGGCGTCACTTTGTATCTGCTTCAGACATGTACAGCAGAATTAATCCAATATTATAGTTTGCCATTGTGTAGCATAGAGTAGTTTTACAGCAGTTGAAAGCAGAGCAAAGGTGAGCAGGAGAAAGAGACACGGATACTTTACCTGCACATACCAAAGGAGACAACTTTGTAGATTCTCATTTTAAGGCTCATTTTAAGGCATGACAGGGTTGTTTTCATTGAAAAACAGGGTTGCATATTTAATTATGATGAACAGTGGTGCATTTTAAGGTGTTTTAACAATAACAGGAAGCACAAGGCATTTGTTAGGTAGTAGTGAATGGTTTCACGGAAGAAAATCAATTCAAGATCTATGTGGTCTCCTCTGATGTGTCAGCTTTTACTACACAGTTGTTATATTGTGCTATTTAAGAGAAAAATAATGTTGGATGTACAACACTGGCAGTAGTAGTGTTTTTCTACAGCACCTCATTAATAAGCGTACAAATATAGTGACTTTCTGTGTAGACAAGTGAGGCAATGAGGCTGAAAGCTACGTTTATATTTTTCCAGTGTAAATTTTCTTCCAGTCTCAAGTCTCTAATCATGCATATTTAAAAAAACCCAGCGTGACCACAACTGTGATTTAATCAAAAGTGAGGGAACAAGCTCAAAAGCCTCTCCCGAGACATGTAGAAATATGAAATCCTTTTGAATTTGTATGGAAAACTTTATTTGATAATAAAAATAGCATTCACAGACTTCTTTTGATAGCTACATATACATTGTAATCCATCTCAAGGAAAGAAGCTGGATAAGTCCACATCTACTTGTACTTTGACTAATGTTATGTATAGCTTCATGGGTCAAATAAAGCTATGAACAATGTAGTATTTATATATGCATAGTTATATAAAAAAGATTGGCCCATATACATGTACTGCTTTTATCAACACAGAGACAGCATTATGTCTGGAGCACATTGCAAGAAATAATGCTTGAAGAACACAGACTGCATACAAGTGCTTTATAATACAAAGGCAGGCTAACCATCGAGAGAGATTCAAACCATCAAACAGTTTCTGATTGACCAAATACAGTCTTTCATTTTAAAATGTCTTTACATACCTGATCCAGAGTAAATCAACATATTTCCCATAAATCATCAGGTCCATTTAAGAGATATAAACACAATATCACATTCCTCACTGCTGAGGTTTTTCATAAATTTCTCTTTTGTACAAGAAAAAGGCAACATTTTATTCCTCGACAGGTTCCTAGTAGTTACATTGGAAAAAAAAATTCTTTACAGGTGATGGCCAACAGGTTAACTTCTTAAATGTGATCTCTTTTTTTTTCTTTTTTTTTGTTAAATACAGTACCATGGCGACAACAGTGATCAAACAATGCATTTGTTGTGTTTTATCCAATATATTTTTAGTTCTTAAATGAAACATAAAACAGAGAATACACACAAAACACATTAAAAAGCAGCAGTCAGACTCCAGTGGCGTGACAGCATGGCTCAGCATGGCAGATTAGTCGTCTCCTGTACCAGGACTCTCTGTATGTTACCAACACAACACACCACAGCAGCTCTTTGTGTCAGGACCCAGGAGGCAGTCGGTGCACGAATGTGGGTATAATAAACATGAGGACAGGGCTAACAATTACCGTGGGATTACAGTGCATGTTCCTTATCGATTATTCTCACTCAGACCTATCAGATAAAGTGGTTACACTACATTTTAATTTACACATGCATCTTGCACAGGGATAATTTACATATTTATTTGCTTCTTTTTTTTTTTGGCATATCTGAAAAATCATACTTCATGGCAGCTTCAGCTGGTATTATGGCATAATGCAGACTCATCTGAAGTAGTGAATTGAAATTTTGATGAACAACAAATTTTGATAACTCATTTTCCCACAACGGAGAATAAATTATTATTTTGTTTTTGCCTGTATTTGAAAATAAGCCAAGCTCCTTCCTTACTGCATCAGCACACGCCAAGAAACAAAGGGTGAGATATTTTTTGTAATCCTACTCCAGGTGGAAAATATCGTTGCCAATTTTCACATCACTTGTCTGATTTGTTAATTTTTGAAGCGTGTGTGTGTGGGTGTATTTAGGTAAAAGGAGGGTGAGCTGCCACACATTTCAACGATGCAACACAAGTAGGGTAACAGCATGCGTTCCCACGTACAATTTACACTTCTACCTTGGTCCTTGCAGGTTTAATGAAGCTTGCTCAAGATATGTGACAAATGAAAAAAATAAATAGTGAGCAAAAACAAAAAGGTCATATATTATATTTTATAATTATCGCTCTAGTTTTACCATCAGATCTTAAATTTAGATTTTTCTGCCTTAAATCCAACGTGATTTTCACAGTTCTTGTGAGCCGTCAGTGTCTTGTGCTATAGTTTGTTCAGTAAAGCAATTCAGGAATGAGAAAGACATCTAAAAACAAGTTGAAAACAAGCTTAGTGGTTACCACAACTGGAAGCATGTTTCATACCTCTGAGGGAACAAATATTTATTGTCAGCAATGCCTACAAAAAGCAATATCACTGATTTCATATGCAGGCACATACAATACCTTTACTATAGTACAACAACCTCTGTTATGTTCAAAATAACTATAACAATGACAAAACAA